GGGTGGGGTGCGGTCGTCGATGCTTTGAGGCTGAGCAGGCTGTGTTTGCAGCTTCACAATTGCACCGGGCACTGCCATTGCGCCCCGGTGCTGAGGGGCGCTCCGTCAACCCCCCTCCCACGAACAAACCCATCCGTACCCCGACCCAACTGATCTGAACGCCAACACGCCGTTGAACCCCTCTCCCCGCCGCGCCCCCAGCGCCACGGCGTGGACGACTTCATCAAAATAGTCGCCATCGCCACCCACCCCGACGCGCGCGGCCGCGGCCTCGCGTCCGCGATCCTCAACGAGATCACGGCCCGCGCAGACGCGGAGGGCCGCGCGGTGTTCCTGGAGGCGTCACCAAACGGGGTGGAGGCGTTTTACAGGGACAGGCATGGATTTGAGACGCTTGAGGAGATGAGGTTCGATTTTGGAGAGCGAGGCCGCCTGGACGTGCCGCTCATGGTGCGGCGGCCGCGGCCGCGGGCGGAGGCGCGCGCGGCGGCGGCGGAAGGGGGGCGGGCGGCGGCCCAGCCGGCGGCGTGAGCCGTGTGGGTGGCGCCTGCTGGGATCGTAGGTCGTGGCTGCCATTTCATGATGACGCCATTATGCATTTGAACTTGGGAGGCGACGGGCGAAGCACTTTTCAATTCGCTGGGCAAGGGTGCCTGCAAGATTGGCACCCCTGGACAAGCGCCCCCTTGGCCTGTGGCTGCTCGCCTGCCCGGTGCTCTGTATCCACGCCTGTACCCACGCCTGCACATGTTCGGACTTTTGTCAGGCGATCCGCCGCAGGGTTTCCTTGCAGGTTGTCGTGTTTGAACATGACGATAAGACGATTTCCTTCCCTGTTTTGGTTGTGGCTCTTCATTTGCCTGTTTTGAGGAACCATAAGCAGCTTTGGCCGTCACATTCATAGGCTGAAGCAATGCACTCGTTGTGAACCCTTCCACAATCCCCTGATACTGGATGCTCCGAGCCCGAGCAGCTTCAACTGCCACCACGTTGCAACAGCCCCTGTCCCGCCGTCCCTCTTGCTGCGGTTGGTACGATCAGGGCTCGTCAAACAAGGAGACCGTCAGGGTCACCAGCTGCCAGGACTGTGCAGCACGAGAACCCCTTCCACATGGAGCGCGAGAACCCCTTGCACATGCAGCACGAGAACCCGTTCCCCATGCAGTGCGAGAACCCCTTCCACATGCAGCACGAGAATCCCTTCCACATGCAGCACGAGAACCCCTTCCCCATGCAGTGCGAGAATCCCTTCCACATGCAGCACGAGAACCCCTTCCACATGCAGCCCGAGAATCCCTTGCACATGCAGCACGAGAACCCCTTGCACATGCAGCACGAGAACCCCTTGCACATGGAACCAGTCAACCCAGGCTCAGATCACTCCTGGGATTCAAAAGGCCATGACCTCATCGTCGTCCTCAACCTCCATCATAAGGCATCCCTCGAAATCTCCCAGCACATCCAACCCTGCGAGCTTGCCGCTGGATGCTGTTGGCGGCTCCGCCGCGCGGTGGCTCGCCGCCGCGGTCGCGGCCGCCGCGGCGTCCGCGGGGCGGTGCGACGGGCCCGCGCCGCCACGCGCCCCGTGCTTGCGGTTGGTTGCTGTGCCACGGCTCGCGCCGCCCTCCTCGCCGCTGTCCCACCCCTCGTCGCTCTCAGACAGTCCCCGTGCCACGCCGCGCCGCCGCCGTTGCAGCGGGCCCCGCCGCCGCCGCCCTTCCCTGCCGCGCGCCGCCGCCGGCTCCTCGTCCTCGCTGCAGCTGCTGCCTCCATCCAGAACCCCGACACTCCCCTCGTCTCCCCCAGATCCTTCGTCAGCACTCCTCACATCGCAATCCTCGCCACCCCCTCCTCCGGCACCCTCCAGATCAATGCTGCTGCTGCCACCCTGCCTGGTCAGCCGCGCCGCTGCCTGCGCCCTTGATGCAGCCTCCCTTTTCAAGTCGGCAGCGACCCCCTCCAGCAGAGTGCTCATCGCCGGGTCGTGCAGCAGCCGAAGCACACCGCGGCGGCAGACAGCCACAGGTCCGGCCGAGGCGCCGCGCTGGCCAGCGGGCGCCGCCGCAGCCGGACCGCACGGCGGTTCGCTGCAGCACAGCACATCCCTAAGCAATCTCAGGAATGCGGCCCTGCCCTCATTACTCATCTGCACCCGCTGCTCGCCCCTCCCCTTCCCTCGCCGCTGCTGCCCGCCTTCCCCATCGTCGCCGCCGCCGCTCGCCGCGACGCCCGCGCACGCGCGCAGGCCGGCCGCGGCCACGTCCACGAACGCTTGCTCGTCCAGCTGCGCGCCGAGCAGCTGCGGCGGCAGCTGCACCAGAAGCTCCAGCGCAGCTGCGGCCGTGCGCCCGTCCCTGTCGCGCGCCTTGCACGCGAGCGCCCGGACGAGCGCGCCGGCGGCAGGGGAGCCCCCCGGGACGGCCACGGAGGACGCGAGCGCGAGCGCCGCCCGGCGGACCTGTGGCGAGGGGCCAGGGATTGAACGGCGATGACAGGCACGCGCTCTGCAAGGTGGAGCGCACCAGACGGCAGCGCCATGTGTGCACTGCGTCGTTTGACCTGGTTGGAATGCAACCGGGTGTAGCGTGCAGCTGAGTGCAAATCGCGCGACGGATGCAATGCGGGGTGCTCAAGCGCCGCGCCTTGATCGAGGGGTCATGCAGCATGCAGGCGAGCAGGGCGTCCAGTGTGGCGGCGCCCCACAGCCGCGCGTGGAGCTCCTCCTCCTCTGAGTGTTTACAGGATTACAAACAACGAGTGCAAGGGGCAAGGGGCCGTCGGTCAGTTGGCTGCCACCATCATAGGAAAGCAGCGGGTCGGGCGGCTGCATGATGGCACCACCGGACCGCCGGTGAGCTCTCACGCGTGCGGGATCCCTCCTGCTGCACGCTGTCACCATCGCTCCCAAGTGCTCCTTCCCCCACTCCATGACCCACGCACGCAGGGTTGCTGCATGCTTCAGAAATCACTGCATCTGTCAACAATGCTTACCTGGGTGATCCTCCACAAACGCGGTGACCGCAAGCTCCATCTCCCCCAGCGCCTCCGCCCGCCACTCGGCGCAGCACATCGCCTCTGGCCGCGTCAGCGCCGACAGACCCCGCAGCAGCGCCGCAGTGCGCGCCGTGCGCTCCTCCGCGCCCGCCGCCGCGCGCGCGACCTCAAAGAGCACCCGCAGCGCGCGCCGCACGCGACGCAGCGCCGCTGCCGCGGCGGCGGCTCCCGCCCCGCGGCCGGGTGGCGCTCCCGCTGCTCCCTGGGCGGCCGCGGCGCCGTCTTGCGTGGCTTCGAGCTCGACAGCCCGCACCAAGCCGCAGGCAAGCACATCCCACCTGGGGTGGCCCGCCACCACCTCGGCCAGGGCCCTGAATCCCGCGCTGCCAGCCCAGGCCAGCAGCCGAGCCTCCTCCGAACCACCTTCCAGGGAGCCGCCGCCCCTCGTGCCGCGCCGCTTCGCGCCGCCGCTAGCGCCGCCTGCGGCGGCCGCGGCGCCGCCCGGGCCGGCGGCCATCGAGGCCACCAGCCAGACCATGCAGGCGTCGTAATCGGACAGGGAGTCGCCAGCAGCTGCGCTGCAGCTGCGCACGCCGTCGTGACCATAGCACTCCAGCAAGAACGCGGCAGCACGGCACGCGAGCCCCGAACCCGCCGGTTCGCAGCCGAGTGGCCCGTCGCCGCCGCCCCCGCTGCGAAGCTGCCCGGCCTCCCACGCCTCGGCGCCGGGCGCGCCCGCGCTCAGCTGCAGCAGCAGGCAGCACTGGGAGAACGCGTCCGAACAGGGCATGACGCGCGCCATGACGGCGCGACTGCCACTGGAAGCGCTCACACCGCCTCCGCTGGCGGCGGCACACCCCATCAGCTCCAACAGCTGCGCCGCCGCCGTCGGTGTTGCCGTGCCCGCCACCGCTGCAGGCGCCACAGCCGCTGACGGGCCGGCGGTGAGCTGCAGCAGCATGAGCAGCGCCTTGGCGGCGGTGCGCATGGGGCGCTGCTGCAGGTGGGTGATGCCTGCTTGGAGGTGTACGCCGCAGTGCATGACGCGTGTGTGCAGTGCGCACAAAGCATGTCATCATGCATGAAGAGGGGGATGCACTATGTGCCTTCCCATGCGTGCGACAGCGTGCGCATGGGGTGCATGCATGCATGCGGTAATGCTGTGGGCAGAGCATACATGTGAGGATGCCCATGCAAACATGCGGAAGGGGCACAGCTTGTGTGGCGCCCCCTCACAGGCTCCGCATGGCATGCAGCGCACATGATTGGCCCAACGCCGCCCCAACGCCACGGCCTTCCCCTAACCACCTGTGGCGAGGAAGAAGCTGTGCGCCTGCCCCACCACAGCCGCGAGCAGCTCCGGCCTGACACGCCACATCCAATCCACGTGCCGCAGCTGTCGGCGATGGTGCAGCAGCGCGCCCTGCGCCGGCCGCCCCTGCTGCTGCCCCTGCGCGTCGTGCTGCTGGTGTGCGCCGGCCGGCGGCCCGGCGTCTGCCCAGCTGCCGTCCAGGCGGCTAGACACGCGGCGCCAGAAGCCGATGACGTTGGCGATGACGTCGGACTCCTCAAAGCGCAGCAGCACCGCCAGCGCGCCCGACGCGCCGCGCCACGTGGTGGCCAGCGCAGCGGCGGGGTGCAGCACGGCGCCATCCGCGGGTGGAGGCGCGGCCACGGCGAGCGACGCGGCTGGAGCCAGGCCCCTGGGCGCTCTGTTGCTGGTTGCTGGGCGTGGTGTGGCCGCGGCGGCGCCGCCGCTGTCGGGTTCAGGGCCTGGCAGGGTTCCCTCCAGCAAGCTGAGCAGTGCCGCTGCCGCCGCACGCCGGGCATCCCCGCATGACGGGGCCAACAGCTCTGCGGCCGGGTGGGTTCATAATGCATGGTAATACACAGCTTGTCCATCGTGCTCAGCTGGCATGGCAGGCTGCGCATCATGTTCTGGCGCCAACAATGCTATGGTGCATGTTGGCGTCCGGCATGGGCCTGCGCCGTATGCAAGCCGCCAGAGACTACCGACCTTCGACATGGCTCTCAATCAGCCTGCACACACTGTGAAGTTGCTCAGGGGTGGATCGGCCTGGTGCTGGTGTGGCTGCTTGAAGCGCAGTCAGCAGGCCAGCACAGTCCCCGCTGGCGTGCGGGAAGGCCATGGCGGGGCGCGGGCGCGTGGCTACAAGATCAATCATGTTTTGATTGGACTCATCGCCCTCTGAGCTGCGTCGTCAGCAAGCCATTGTGGAAGTATCGTATTTGACGGGTGTGTAGAGCGGTGACCAAGATCTGCGCGCGCAATCCTTCCCCCGAAGTGTCAGCTGCTCACATGCGGTCTGGCCATTTTCCTCAGGTGTTGTCTTTATGTATACGTAGCAGCATGTAGATAGTTTGGGCGGTGATCTGTCATATGGGACTTGATCAGCTGCAAAGCAGTTATGGACGACGACGACATATCAGACGACCTGCTTGCTAATTTGGATGATATCTGTGCCCAGCATCAAGCCAAGCCGGTAAGGGCCGCGTGCACGCGGCTGTGTGCGGCACGCGCAGCACGTCACGGGGGCATTCGACAGCCAGAGCGCCCCCTGCATGCCGACGCCGCGACGCACAGTGACTTGCCTGTTATTGCTCACTCCCTGCTCAGGGCCCATCGCAGCAGCCGCCAGACGCCTTTGTGGCCGATGATCAAGTGCCCAGGGGGCTGAGCAGTGGCGTTTCAAGGCCGCCGACCCAGCAGCCAGCGCTGCTGCTGCAGCAGCAGCAGCAGCAGCCCTATGGTGCAACAACCTGGCGCCCAGCGCTGCAGGCTCAGCCATTCAATCGGCCCAACAGCCTGGCGGAGCAGCTGGGAGGGCCGTCGGCATCGCAGCAGCCAGCCAAGGGGGTTGCTTCGATCCCCCTCTGGATGCAGCAGCGGCAGCAGCAGCCGTGGTCACAGCAGCAACAGCAGCCGCCACAACAGCTCTGGCAGCAGCGACAGCAGCCGTGGCAGCAGCAGCAGCAGCAGCCCGCATGGCACCAGCAGCAGCGGGTGCCGCAGCACCAGCAGCAGCAGCAGCAGCAGCAGCAGCAGCAGCAGCAGCAGCAGCAGCAGCAGGAGCCCCTGCTCAATCAGCAGCAACAGCAGCTGGCAGCAGGCGTACCAACAATGTCCGGACCCGCAGCCGCGGTGGCCGCAGCTGCAGCGGCCACCACTCTGGGCGCAGGGCCAGCAGCAGGCACGGCGGGAGGAGGGGCGGGACTGGGGGCCGCCCCGGTGGGCGGCGCCCCTGCAGGGGTGACGCAGCTGGGACCTGTTGGGGATGGGACCCTGCCAGCAACCGCAGGATGGCAGCAATCCATGCCAGCTTACACCCCAGGCGGGACTTTCTCACCTCAGCAGCAGCTGCGACCGCAGCCAAGCTACGGCCGGGGCGGCCGCAGCGGCAGCGGCGGTGCGAGCAGCGGCGGGGCCGGCAGCGGCGGCAGCGGGGGTGCGGCGGCGCCGCCTGGCATGGGGGCGCAGCAGGTGCGGAATGGCGTGTCTGCCGTCAGCTGCGGTTGCGGAGCGGGCCGTGGGCTCGCAGCTGCGGGGCAGGCCGAGGGCGGGCGCCGGGGGCTGTCCTTGGCGCCAGGCAGTTCCACACACACGCGTGCTGCATGCTGCTATGGCGCCCTCATCGACCGTCCGGCTGCCCTCGTTCACCCCGCGGTCAGCCGCCCGGTGCATCCCTGCCCACTGACGACGCACACCCCTGCGTCCCGCTCGCCCTCGCGCGCCGCACCGTCAAAAACTCCCCGTCACAGCCCTCCCAGCGGGATGCCGGGCACCAGGACACCCTCCGCCGCACCACCCAGCCGGCCCCCCACCACGCGCCGCCCGGCGGCGCCATGTCGGCGGCTGCGGCGCTGGCGCAGCGTGCGGAGCTGCAGCGGCAGCTGGAGGCGTCGCAGCAGCAGCTGATGCACGCGGGGGCAGAGCTGGAAGAGGAGCGGCGCCGCGGCGCCACCAGGTGCGCGCGCACAGCGCCGCGGACGCGGCGCGGAGCTGGGGCCTTGGTTTGGGCGCGTGAGCCGGGGTCGCTGGTTGCAAGCCATGGTTGGCTGCGCAGCCGTATGAGCAGATTGGTTGCTCGCTCGGTCGCTCTTTGGTGGCCCTCAGCTGGCCATATGTAGCCCGCGCCCTGATAGTATGCACCTGACGCCTTGCCTAGGGAGGAGCGCTTGGCGACCGCCGAGGCCCGCGCGGCCCAGCTGTCCGCGGAGCTGAAGCGGCGGGAGGAAGCTGCCGCGCAGCTGCAGGACGAACTGAGGAACGCACGTGAGCAGCGCGCAGCGGCCGAGGCGGAGGCGGCGGCCGCCGCTGCGGCGGCCGTCGCCGCGTCGGAGGCGGCGGCGGCGGCGGTGGGCGCGGCGGCGCCGGGAAGCGCGAAGAAGCGGCGGCGGGGCAGCGGCGCAGGCGAGGCGGCGCCAGGGGCGCAGCAGAACGGGGGGCAGGCGCCGCTGCCGTTGGTGACGCATCAGCAGTCACAACGGCAGCATCATCAGCAGCAGCAGCCGGGCCAGCATCTTGCTGAGCGGCCTGGCACGCCGCCCGCGCCGGCGGCGGGCGGCGGCCCCACGCCAACAGTAGCAGCAGCGGCGGGGCCCGCGCGGCTGGCAACAGGCGGCCCTGCTGCCCCCGGCCTCATTCCCGCCCTGCTTGGCCTCAAGGTGTGATGGGCCTTGTCTGTATAATCACTTCTCCATTTTGCCCAGTTCTTGTGCTCATTACACTCATACATGCGCGGACGCACGTGCGCGCACGTGCGCACACGCACACCCCCCCCCCCCACACACACGCTTGAACACTCAAATCTCTCAGCCCTTTTTGACCTGTCCCGGGCGCGGCATCGGGTCACCCCCCTTCCACCTGTCCCGCCCCCTGCTGCCGCAGCTGGCGGGCCCAGGCCTCTGGCAGCAGCTCTGGTGTGCATGCGGCCCCTCCATCGAATTTATCCTCGCCGCAAGCGGCCCCGCCC